AGCTCTTACATTTTTTGACTTTTCAATTTGGTCGGGTTCACGATAATATCACTTTTGTGCGAACGCATTAGATCTTCCAACGCGAACACGCACACACATACATTTGATTGAATTTGAACTTTGTGCAGCGACAATAAAGCGCACATTGAATTTTCAACGTTAGGAACACACCTCCATTGTTTAGACAAAACAGTGAGTGCTTGTAGTTTAATATAAACTTTATTGAATAGCAATAAAGTTCAAATTAACTGTACATTTAGTTAGAAAATATTTGTATGGAAAAATGATGTATGGAAAAATTTTATTTTTATTTATTTATTTATTTATAAAAGATTTTATTCATTTCTGGAAAAAAAAACATTGCAGATCTATTTCTAAGTAATAACTATATCAATGTTTTCTGGGAAATTTAAATGTTTTACCCAGATACGGAGTGTAAAAATAAAGTTGTTTTTTCCTCTTATTTTGCAACCTCCTATGGAATTTATTAAAAGGAACACACCTACATTGTTTAGACAACAGTGGGTTCTTGTAGACCCAGGGGGTGTAGAGTTGTGTTATAGAGGTAGTACCTAACTGGTCCTCATAGGACAACTAACTCTCACTTATGGCTCCACGTGCCACACCCCGGGCAACTGCATTGGTCTGCAGGCTAAACTACCTACCAACGGCTTCGGGCGGATGAGTTGGTAAGTGGCAGGACACTCTTTTGTCCTGAGATAGAGAAATCTGTCTCGAAGGCGGATGAATCAAGGAATGGTCAACGGCGTAAGGATACAGAAGGCAACGGGAAACCACTGTATTAATGATCTTTACGATTCCCTAGTATAATCATGATGGCAAATGTCACATCAATCACTCATGTTACTGATCATGGACCTCGGAACCCAAGATCCGGCAGGAGAGGAAAACCACAGACAGACCATAGGGCCTCTCAGGTCGTGAACTAGCGAAATCCCTGTGTAAGTAATATTAATCACCTTAAGATATTAAGAATAGAAGAATAGCGACGTGGAATGTAAGAAGCCTCTTTGCAGCAGGTAAATTAAATAATGTAGCCCTTGAAATGGAAAACCTTAAAATTGATGTCCTAGGTATAAGTGATGTACAGTGGCCAGGATCAGGAAAATGCACGAATAACAGTGGAACACTTTATTATTCAGGCACCATCAGTTCAACTCATCGTTACGGTGTCGCTGTCTTGGTATCAAAGAAAATCAGTAACTGTGTAACAAGCTTTACTCACTTTTCTGATAGAATAATGACACTACAACTTCAGTCAAATAAACAAATTATAAATATTATACAAGTATATGCTCCTACGGCTGATAAAGATGATAATGAAATTGAAAGTTTCTATTACGATCTGGAACAAATTCTAAAATCAATGAAGAAACATCATACTACAGTAGTAATGGGCGATTTTAATGCCAAAATTGGACATGGATGTGTGGACGCTTATGTGGGTGACTATGGATTAGGAGAACGAAACGAACGAGGAGACCGTATGGTACAATTTTGTCAAGCGGAGGAGTTAGTAGTTGCTAACACTCTTTTCAAGTTACCTAACAGACGACTGTACACATGGAAATCTCCGAGTGACACCAAAGGTAGAGTATCAGAAACCAAATTGACTTTGTCCTTGTTAGTCAAAGATTTCGCAACTCTATACTCTCAGCTAAAGCCTACCCAGGAGCAGATATAGGCTCGGATCACAATTCTGTAGTAGTCATATTAAGAATAAAACTAAAGATCATTAAAAAACACATACAGAAACAAATTGACGTGAGAAGACTGAATGAACAACATATAAAAGAGAAAACAATAGTGAACATCAAAGAAAATTTACAAAATATAGAGAAACTGTATAGAAATACTGATAACATAGACCAAAAATGGGAGAATATTAAACATGCCGTAATGATGGCAGGGAGAGAAAATTTAACACCGAAAGAAAGGAAACATAAAGAATGGATGAATGAGGAAATACTACAGTTGATGCGTGAAAGAAGGGTACACAAAACAAATAATCCGATAAGATACAAAGAAACAGATAAACTGATAAAAAAGAAAATAAGAGAAGCTAGAGAAAGATGGTTAAGTGAGCAATGCCAGCAATGGACACAACTGTTTGATGACAAAGATAGACAAGAAATCTCAAACGAATATACAGATGATACAGGGCCTGATATAATCAGAGCAAAAATAGAATATGCAATCAAACAAGCAAAAAGTGGTAAGGCCCCCTGTCCTGATGAAATTCCCGTAGAACTGCTCAAACTTATGGACAATGAATCTATTAAAATACTCCTAGATCTGTTTAACACAATATATAGAACTGGAATAATACCTAGGGAATGGCTCCGTTCGACCTTTATACTACTGCCAAAAAAGGCAAATACAAAGGAATGCAACGAAAATCGTACGATAGCTTCGATGAGTCATGCTCTAAAACTGTTCTTAAAAATAATCCATAATAGGATCTATAGGAAATTAGACGTAGACATCAGTAACACTCAGATGGGATTTAGAAAAGGGATGGGTACAAGGGAGGCTCTGTTTGCAATGAACGTTCTCTCACAGATATGCTTAGACATAAACCAAGAAATTTACGCCTGCTTTATTGATTTCGAAAAGGCCTTTGACAAAGTACAACATGAACCACTAAGACAAGTTCTAATAAAGAAAAATATAGACAGCCGAGATATTCGAATTATATGCAATCTATATTGAAATCAAACAGCAAATGTCAATGTTGAGGGCAGACTAACAGAAGAAATTCAAATCCGTTGAGGAGTCCGGCAGGGATGTATTTTATCGCCACTTTTATTTAATCTGTATAGTGAAGCTATCTGTGAACAAGCACTCGAGAAAGAAGATCTTGGTCTGATAATAAATGGTGAGACGATCAACAATATAAAGTATGCTGACGATACAGTTCTCCTAACGGGAACGCTAGTAGAACTACAACATCTCGTTCAAAGTCTAAATATATACTGTAACAGTTACGGCTTGAAAATTAATTTGAAAAAAACTAAATTTATGGTAATCACGAAATCAAAGAACATCAGAGCTAATCTTGCAATAGACAATACAACGATTGAGCGTGTGCCCTGTTATAAATATCTAGGTGCTTGGATCACAGACGATACTGATCAAACAAAAGAGATTAGATGTAGAATAGAAATCGCTAGATCAGTCTTTAATAGAATGCGCAAACTCTTTTGCAATCGTGATATCAATATAAAGTTACGAATACGAATGCTGCTTTGTTATGTCTTTTCTACCCTGTTATATGGAGTTGAGGCTTGGACACTAAAATAGTTGACCATAAAAAACATCGAAGCTTTCGAGATATGGTGCTATAGGTGCATTCTCAGAATATCATGGATGGACCGCGTCACTAACACGCAAGTACTACAAACTTTAGACAAAAGATGCGAAATTCTAAATGAGATAAAAACTAGAAAGATGGAATACTTGGGGCACATTGTGAGAGGTGAAAAGTACGAACTTTTAAGAAACATCATGCAGGGCAAAATTAAAGGCAAAAGAAGTGTGGGAAGAAGAAAAATATCGTGGCTTCGTAATCTACGTGAATGGTTCGGGTGTAGTTCGATTGAACTTTTTAGGCGCGCTGCTAACAAAGTGGCAGTGGCCATGATGATTTCCAATCTCCGCTAGGAGTGGCACGAGAAGAAGAAGGGTCCTTGTACTTTAATATAAACTTTATTGAATAGCAATGTAGGTCGAGAGTTGCACAGCTTTCTGCCTGGATACAGGTTTTTACTTAGATCCAGCCATTTTATGTTTTCTAGAAGGTTTTTCGGAATAATACCAGTAGCATATGAAATAATAGAAATTGTATGGAAAATTTCAATTATTCATGGTCTCCTTATTTGTATTACTAGACATACATGAGTTTGTTGTTTGGCTAGTACGTTTATTAACTAGTATGAGATCCGGTCTATTATGTGCTACTGATTGATCTGTGAGCATAGTGCAGTCCCAGGGTAGCTTGTAGTTGTTATTTTAAATCATTCTGTCAGGGACGTATTGATAATATGGAAGATGGTCTGTTTGGGGAAGTCTCAGTTTGTTGGCTAATTCTTGGTGAATAATCTTTCCTATTGAGTCATGGCTCTCTTTAGCATCTGATCTAGGTGGTTCTGAGTGGAAGCCATTAATTTGAAATTATCCATATACAACAGATGTTTAAGCTTCGCCAGAACAGTATTATTAGTTAATTAGTTAAGTCCTTAATTAGTCCTTAAATGGGACTAATTCGACACCTTAGACTCAAAACTCGAAACTTTTTTAAACGATACTATTTTTTCAGAAAATTCAAAAACAATCAAAAACGAGCTTATAGAAAGTGTGTCCAACATAACTCAAGATAGCATAAATAATGAGATTCTTTTTAAAGGTCGATTCAAACACATCAGTCGCGTCTCGTCGCAGGCCCGGCGCAGAACCGAACAATCCGTCATACAAAATATTCTTTAATAGAAATTATGCCGCCGGCATTCACATTCATCAGTTGACGAACAGTTTACCAGCAGTCAGATAATGAATAGTTCTGTGACCAGACAAGATCGATTCTGCGCCGGGACTGTGACGGGACTGACGTTTTTGAATCGACCGTTATATGGGAAATTGATGAAACGGCCGATACTACTTGTAATTTCCAACTTTCAATCGTTTTCAGATAATGTTAAAGGTAGAGTAGGTAAAGCAATTTATGGGTTTTTGTAATGTTTCATCTGGGCAAACTGCAGATGATTTATTATATCTTATAATCAATAAATGCGACAAATATAATTTTAGGCGAAAGCTAATTGCACAAACCTATGATGACACTGCCGTCATGATCACATATAAAATGAATATGTGTAAAAAATATTGCATATCTAAATAAAAATAATGCATATATGTACTTGCAAAATTGTGTCCATATATTATGGGCATATTTTGGAAAATTTTATATTTATTATACTTACGTCAGGTAAAGGTTCTGTCGGTTTAACATGTATACTTTCCAGACTGATAATAGTAGGTAGAGTTGGCCTGGGAGTGTACAGAAATGGATTGGTGGTCATTAATAACAGGCTCATATTTCTTTCGATGTCCTCAATATAAGGTATGTCATTGCCCAAATATTTTCTAGCTAGTGCATCTGATTTAGGTAAAATCACAAATGTTCGGTAAAATCGAACAAAGAAATAGTAAGCCGTACTTTTTATTCTTTCATAAAGCGTAAGCTTTCCATTGTAAGGCAAGATCATTTCCGAGTACAAAGATGGTGGATTTGGGTTACCCATAGCAAAATGAGTGCCTACAAATTATTATTCTATATAAATCTAAGAGTTTTTCTATAAATGTTGCGTACCCTTAAAGCAAATAGCAACCATTTTTGAGTAAAAGAAAGTATATAATACAATAAAATCACAAAAAGTTAAAAAAAATCATTTTACACATTGTAATTGTTAGTTTAAAATTTGGTATAAATGTAAGATAGAACACTAAATCGATGCTTAAAAGCAGAAGAAGCCTATGTCCAATAGGGATGTGTAGTTCACCATCAAGTAGTTCTAATGAACGATTCTTTCAACTGAACTAATTGAACTAGTTCATTAATTTTCATAGAACTATTTCACTGCGAACGATTTGCATTATAAATTATGTCTCGACTTCTAAAGAAGAAAATAATGAATGAATGAATTAGAACATATATTTATTATTTTGTGAATGGATGGACTAACTAGTTTAAAAAAAATGCCGATTAGCCTCAGATAACAGATTCATAATTCTTATGAATGTGACAATACCATAAGGTCTTATCTTAATGTCATAATGGTTCGGATCTTATGCCCATGTATTGGCTTGGATGTTGCCATGCTGTGTTGTTTCTTGTATTGTAATTTTGAAATAAAAATTTCAGTTGTGGTTAAAATGATTAAGGCATTTACTTAAAATATAATTTTATGTAAAAGTGAGAATGACAATGTGTTATTTAATGTTCCTAGAAAATTCACTGATTTTTTTTGTAAAGGTTCTTTTAGAAATAATCTAATTATAAATACCTATGAGTTTAAATATACGTAAATATAAAAATAAATTATACTTGAACCATATTTATATTTCAAACGGTTAATAAAAACCAACCAATCATATAATAATTTAAACCATTTAAACCTAAACATACGATCGAAAGAAATAGTTCAGAACTACTTGTACGGTAGTGAACTAGTGAAAGACTGACTGAAAGAACGAAATAGTTCCGAACTACTTGTACGGTAGTGAACTAGTAAAATACTGACTGAAAACCGAAGTAAACGGGCGGCCAGCGCCGAGCTGGTGTGATGATTGAGACGAGACATCTGGCAACCAGTTCTGTAAGGGCGAGCGCCCACCAAAGTGGCGTGGCAGTGGCAAGTAGCAAGTAGCACGCGTCTAGCATAATGTAACCAATGAAAACGAATGATTCAGTTTACACCAAAATGACAGTAACGTCATTTATTCTAATCATTCGTTAGAATTGGTTACATTATGCTAGACGCGTGCTACTTGCTACTTGCCACTGCCACGCCACTTTGGTGGGCGCTCTCCCTTAGGGTTGGATTTCGATGTCGGTCCTACAAATAGTTCTTTCGCGAACTAGTTCACTGAACTAGTTCATTTTTGTGAAATAGTTCTGTTGAACTAGTTTGTCTAAAAGAACTAATAAGCACACCTCTAATGTCCAAAGCACTGTTATATTAGATGCAGAAGTATCATAAATTGTATCTTTGCAACTAGCGCTCATACAATTTATTAAACACAACAGTAAAATTAACAACCACAGTGATAACAAATAAACTAAATGAAATTATAACTAATAAAACACTAGTGATTATGATGTGATCATAGATCACTAATATAACACAAGGAGCAGAAAAACAACAAGGTTTTAGGTAACGAAGATCATAAACCAACGCTATATTTATATTGAGGCCAGTGCAAGAAAAATCATTCATCACTATCATCATTTTGGCTTTATAACCCTACGTGGGTTCTAGCCTCCTCAATAATTTCTCTCCAGTCGTCCCTATCCATCACCTTTCTCTGCCAAGCACGTATTCCCATATTACTAATGTCTCCATCGATATTATCAAGGAACCTTGTACTAGGTCTTTCTTTTCTTTTCTGACCAATGGGTCTATCAAGGACCGTTTTTCTAGGTGGATCATTTTGTTCCATCCGCATTACATGCCCTATCCACCTCAGACGTCATATCTTGATATGTTTTACAATATTAGGTTTCCGGTATATTCTATAAAGTTCTAAGTTGTATCGTCCTTCTCCACACTCCATTGCCATTCACATCATCATCTTTGGCTCTACAACCCTGGGTGGGTCTTGGCCTGTTTAAAAATTAGTCTCCATTCCCCCTATCTTTCGCCCTGGCTTTCCAATTTCTGACCCCTAGATCTTAAATCTAGATCTTAGCCTGCATATCTTCCTGGTTCCTACTGGCTCTTGATATAATAGTTGTCTTTGGAGGTCTCCAGTGTCCATTCCTTCAAGGTGTCCTAGCCAACTTAATCTATTAATTTTAATAGACCGGACTGCTCCATTGCTATTCACTGCTCCATAAATTCACCTTAGTACTTTTCTTTCGAAATATCCCAAAACGTTTTCATTGTTTTCTGTTATAGTCCGGGTCTCTGAACCGTATCGCACTGAGAATACAATACTAACATAACTTAAAATTAACAGTTTGGAGATAATCTTAATTAAAGATTTTTAGCGACAATCTTTATCGATATCGAATTTCTAGCGATAATATCGTTGGATCTAAGGATACCATGTTAGTCAGTGTTGCGGCATTTGATTTATTATTACTGTATATGGTTTGATAAAATGTCAAGCTGTTAATTGACCACAAATTAATTAATTTGAAAAAAATATAAATAATTTCGAGTTGTTTGCATTCGAATTGTTGCAACCTTAGGTAGTAAATTAAATTAGAGCTTAATTTTTTAACAATTTATTTATGAAAATAGAAATTACAAATTTTCGTAAAAACTATGATATTGAGCTTTAATTGACTTTTCTCGACATAAGGATAAAAGTCTATCTTTTTTTTTTCTTTTGAAATTTTTGGAGCTTCACTAAATGCTAATTTAAGAGGAAAATCTGATAAAGTATTAGCAATTCTATGACTATTACGCCCATGTACGTCAATCTCTGAATATAGTATATCATTATAATTGTATTTATAAAATATAGATAACATCTAGTATGAGTGATACTAGAAATATCAAAGTTAGAAACTGCATGCGTATATATATATATATATATATATATATATATATATATATATATATATATATATATATATCGCCATAATATATTTATTTTTATTTTATTCTGTGCAATTGTCTGAATAAAATATAACCTCTTTTAGCTCCGCGTTTTGCAGTCCTCCAAACATAGCAGTACCCCTGTTTTATAACGACGTCGTAAATAGTGAAATTGTAGGTTACCAATTTGCTCTTGAGGTAAAATGAAAATACATCTCCTGAAGGAGTCGGCAAAACTGCTTGTAAATCATAAACCCCCACAACTTTATTTTTATTATTTTCTGCATCTTAATTATCTTTAGCTTTTTCTTGCCGGGTTAGATTTTTACTTCTCAAATGGTCTTGGTAGTTTGCTTCTAATACTTGCTTTTTCTCTTCGTTGGAATTGTTAAAAGTTTCGCATGTAAGACACTGATCTTTTTTGGGTTTATGAAATCCAATATTATATTCATAGTTAAAAATTTGATTATAAATACATTTCTTAACGTAAGGTAAATCTGACTCTATACATTTTTGTTTATATAAGCGATATAGAGTACTAATGTTTAGTACTTCAAAATATTCCCTTTTTGATTGATTTCTCAAATAGTGTGACTCCACGTTTGGGATAGAATCAATATGCCTCCTTACGCCATCCTTTACGCTAGCATCTAACTTTTTCTGTTTGTTGTGTTTACCTCGTTGATCGGGTTGTATTACGCAATTCAGATCAGTTTTTTTGGGGTTGGACGATTTATAGTGTCACCAATATCCAGTATTGCCATAAAAATTTTTTACATACACGAAGCTTTTGATTATTTTTTATCAAGTAAAAAGCTTGATTGTTAGACCTATTTTGATTTCCTTTCAGATATTGGTATTTCGGAGTCACGCTGGTCATATTGGAGGAAATATATTGTCGTTGTCTAATATTATCTCCAATAGCCCAAAATGATCGCCATATCTCCTCTCTTTCTGCAAGAGTAAAGCGGGAAACACACTTTTAACGGCAATTATTTTTACATGGCTCCTTCAGTTTTTGTTGAAGGACAAGTTTCTTTGTTTTACTCGTTTCATAAGATTGCTCTGTATTACGTTTTATATTTTCTAATGTTTTTATCCCATTCATGATAATTTGTGCTACGATTATGTGACTTAGTTTCAAGTTTTGTAGTTTCCTCTGTGGACATATTTTGCTCGTAAATGTTTTTAGAATCGTCCTTGACAACTGTGGTGGCATTAGTATTTTTTAATATAGTAAAAAATTTGCTTTCGCTTATAAAATTATCTCATAACGCAGTTGATGTTACCATGCCACTTGCTTCTTTCTAAAAAATAAAAAAGGTATAGCCAATGACACTTATTCAAACGTACAACATAAGTAAGTTTATTGAACGAGTTTGGATTAGCAACAAATTGAAAATACTTACCGCTTTACTTGAGAATACATTTTCAGAATTTTCACTTGCCATTTGCATAATCAATTTTATTCTAGAAGACATTTTTATTGTTGATTTCACAAATAAAACCACAAAAACTAAACACACTCTTACTTCAGCGCCTTAAATGTTTATAATGTAATTAATGTTAAGTAGTGTCAATATAACCTCACTTACCTGAAGTTTGATGCAATATTAACGTAAGTGTGCAATATGTTGACATGATTACGCTGATTTTAGGTTTATTTTAGACTAATACTAGACTAACGCATCTCAAAATATGTTACAATTGAATTATAAATATTTCAACTTTAACAAAATGTTAAAGTAACTTAACATAGTTTTTACTGTATTTGCAGTAAGATTTGAGATGTGGTATTATTGCACAATAAATGTATAAGTTTAACCGTTAGGTCCGCTTGCCATTATGCTAATTTCAGTACTGATTTCAGTGCTAAAAATACTAGTTAGTTGCGCGAGTCGATTTAGTATGAAAAATGTATGTTGGTGTTTGCAACTATCTTGATTTTAATTAGCCTGTAGGCATGCGCTCTACCAATTTTGTTATTGAC